CTGCTGAACTTTCACTTGCTTTAAGGATAATTTTCACTCTACCACATTCCTAATGGTATAGATAAGGAGGACAACGTAGAAACACTTCTCAGCACAGATATCAACATCATCAAAAACCGTAAATATTGGCAGCACATTCGATTTTTGTCACGCAAATCACGGCAACCACTATAAATGGAATTAAAATTTCCTACACGTTTTATTTATTCCATTATTACATTGTATATTCAACTGAATAGATGCTATTAAGTCACCAGGGGCCAGCACGTTCTCAAAAGCAATAGAATTCTTCTGTAAGAGGAGCAATGTTTAAAACCCCTCCTGACAACTGGCAAGGTGCTATGAACCGGTTGGTTTAAAGCCCGCTGTTTCACTGGCCCAGATCCCCTGACGGACTTCTGTGGCAGATTCTTATCTAGCGTTCCTGATGTCAAGTTTAGGTCTCTATGATCAAAACTGGAATTCTCAATGCCATATTCAACATCTAACTTTGTGTGACTTACCCGTGGCCAGCAGTCCCTGTGACCTAAGAAATACTAAGATCTGAACTCTCCCCTCAAGGGGAAGAGATTAGAATCCACATTTCTCATGGCACTATCACAATCGCACCATGACCACACCAGAAAGTATTCCGGGGTTGAAGTTATTTCGCGGCGGTTAAATGGAATAAGATGCTAGGAAAACAAACAAATAAACCCCCAACAAACCAAAGGTAGAAATCACTGTCTTGCTTATCAGTAAGGAGACTACCTAATGTGTGGTCTTTCCACCTAAGTGCCGGTGTTCTGTCCGACTGACTTTTACTGACTTCTACACTGCCTATTCAATCTTTATTTTTTGGATGTAAACTGGAATCACTTCAAGAAGGGTGAATCCCTTCATGCCATGGCTACCTATGGAGTAGGAAAAGAGGGGAAAACGGGAAAGAAATATGATGTGAAAGACTAGCTCTAACGGTCTCACCTGCTTTGTAACTGTGGTGTTACAGAGGTGGGGGTGCAGTCCTACTTGCTTAGATCGCGTTTTAAAGGAGTCCTACCCAAAGTTAAGTTTGCAGATCTACTAAAGGTCAACTGCTTCATCCAGATCTCATATGAGATCAACTTTAACCTTGCCAGGTGCAGTTTAAATCCATGATATTTTGTCCTGTTTGAAAGAATGTGGACAGAAACGATCGCATCTTTTATGCATAAAAATGTTTGATGTCTTTCTTTGTAGTCCAACCAAGGCTGTTTCTTTCAATCTTTTCTTTTAGAACCTATTTTCCAGACCTTTCATCATCCTTTTTTCTTTCCTCTGGACTCTAGCATATCTTTATTGATGGGTGGCTGCCAAAATTACAGACTGCACTACAACAGAGTAAATGAGCACTCTTCAAGTCTTACCTACACCAATTTTGGTTAACTTCCAGCAGAATGTTCACTTTTTCACTGCAGTAAGAAATCACTATCCACTATAGCCTGCCTCTTTCATCTGGAACTGTTACTTACCCAGTTATTTCCCAGGATCACTTTGTGCTATTGCTAAAATAAAAGACACCCTTCACTTTGTGAAGAAAAACCACGTGCTCCAAGTTTCAAAAGGGACCCAGACTTAAAGTCCTCGGAGATGCATCTTCCAGTTGCCCCGACAGGTATGTTTACACAAGTGGTTTAAGGCGTTCTCTCCTCAAAACTCTTAAGCAGCTTAGGAACCACCAAGCCGACTTCTCAGATTCAATTTTATAAATGCCGAATTCTCCCCTGGGATTTCTGGAGCTGTCCTGGCTTTTGTGGATGGTTACATGCTACGGGGAACGCCCTCTACAGTTGCTGAACTTGTGTTTACACCGATTGAGGCCTGCGTACTTCATTAACGACGGAGGCGAAAGCAGCTGCATACACAAAGATGCACTTAGCAAACCACCGTTTGCTCTCCCACCAAACCTCCATCAGAGACTTCCAAATTCAGGAACGGGGGACGAGGGCTA